AACATTAAACTTCAAGCTTCTTGATGGATAAGCCGCGGTTTACACACATCGTAAGCAAAATATATTTCTACGGGTTTAAGAAATCTTAAATTAGATTTTAATCCGATTTTTTATGATTACTGCCATGCAAATATAATTTTCAAGCATTCATATACACGTATTTACCCATATAACATCTACTCTATAGCTACCTGTGGTGGCTCCCTGGCTACCTGCGTGCCTGCTTCTCACATTTTCCAACTAAATATTAATGCGTGCAAATGTGATGAGTGCATTGCATAATACCCACTCTCGCCTTGTTGACTATCTTTATGTAAATTCAATGCGCACCACCAGCGACGCATTAATGCCAAACAATGCGTATTCAAATATATTTCATGCAACGCTCCTGCCAACACACTACTGCGCACACATGTACGCGTCAGACTTCCGTGTGTCCTTCGCAGTTTAAGCCACACCTAAGCAACATAGAAAATTACAACCATAGCAGCATACTAATGAATGAATGAATGAATGCATGGGGCGCCGGAGAGCGCTGAGAGGTTTCGCTACGAAGGGAGATTATTTGTAAATACAGTTATAATGTGTAGGGAGTTGGAAGGTTGCATAAGTGTGCCCAACGCACAATAGTCATGCAGAAGAGGTACATGTATGTATATATGAGCTGGTGCTGCTGGTGGGAGACCCACTTACTAGCTGCACGCTTGGTCGCTCCTGCGGATACTCAACGCATCCACTCGACTCAATGCACGCAGGCAAATATTTTGCATCATTTTATCACGCGTGCCATGCGAGCACGATCGAGGTGACGAGGTGGCGAGGTGGCTGCGTGGTTGTATAGATAGGGTAGGCCTTCATCATGCAAATATTGTGTGGTTAGTTTATCCTTGTTGATATTCCAACGTACTCTCTGCCTGTTTGTTTTCCCATGCTATTATTATTGCTGCTCGCTTGTGAGTTGATTTTTTTTATTAATTTTTTTTTTATATCTACATACTTATATGTATTTGTTTTGTTAGTTTTTAAGTCTATTTAGGCGCTGTGTTCGATGTATGTATGAGCTTAATTCTCCTTCCAACGTAATCCTGCCATAAAATGCATTCATTCATTTGCAATTAGATCAGCTGAGGCATGAGATGTTAAGCTGTGGCAAGCGCATCCTTGGGCTGAGTATATGCATGACATATAGCAACATGCTGACTTGACTCTGCTGCATAGTTAATGACGCTGTTGCAATAAGGAAGGCAGCGCAACAGAGCGTGCGGTGTGTGTGTGTGTCTTCTCCCGGCCAGCATGTGCGCCACATACTCGTACCAGTAGTGTGTGGCTGGCATATTGTTAGGCGTAAGAACAATAATCAGCATCGTCGCTGGGGTGCGCGCAACGTGCAGTGAAAAAGTGGGTTGATGTCTGCTATCTTAACAGCTAGCAGCTATGGGCACCCTCTTTTCTATTACCCGTGAGTCCTCAGATTTATTGTGTGTTGGAATTTCAATTCATTTTCATACCTATACATACACCCCATATTGTCTTATTGTCCTCACTCACATTCGTGTCTTATTTGTTAGCTTAATTGCAATTCATTGCTTGCCTGGTTGGTTGGTTGGTTGGTTTGTCGATGAGTGCTACCTCCGAAAGGTGTTTAAAGTCAACTCTGTCCATTTTGGGTTTGATTTTTCATGTGACAGGCGTCGATATAAGAGCAGTTATTGTTTCGGATTTCTAATTGGGCTTATTCTACTTAGTTCGAGTCCTGGACCGACCAACAGCCAAAATTATAGAAAATAAATTCTTCATTTAATTCCGGCCGACCCGGGACAGGAAATGTCAAGTCCTTCGAGTTTATTTCTGATATGAAATTAAACCTCCTTATAGAAAGGAAATCAAACGGCCCTTCGTTGGCAGCTTAAAATAAACCTTAAGACTTAAGTCACAAATTGAAGTAGGAGCCATGACGAAAATCGCGTCAAAATACGCGAAAACTATCTGTTTGACTTCGGTAATATACACTCAGAGCCAGGTCTGAGAGGTAGAGTGGATGATTTAAAATAAAGTAGCCTAGCTTATGCAGAGCAATCAATGTGGCTCTTGTGAACGGGCGCGTTGTCGTGCTCACCGCTCGTCAATTTCCCCCTTATCTCTTTAATGGCTTCTAGTATAGTATTCTCCACTTATAGAAACACCTTTATCATTACAATCAATCAATAATTTTTCATCCGCGTCCCAAATAACCGAAGCATGAGTATCCCAGCTCACTGTGACACTTAAGACTTTATGGAGGGTGCTGTACCCTTCTCATGCCACCGTATAGAGTCTTGTTTAGACTCAGGTTCATATTCACGAACACAAGTTCACCTCTGTATAACCCTCTCATTTTCCAAGCATAAAAAGCTCCCTCGTACAAAGTGTCAATTATATATATTAATTTAGTGGAAAGTGCTTTAACGAAGCACAAAAAAGCACAAGGTCTTGGCAATACAATAAAGATCGCCTAAAAACTGTCACGAAAGCTAACAGGAAAGCACAAAGAGAGCCTTGAAAAATCCTCAGCACTAGCAGTGAACGTAACGCAGAATAAAACAGTTCTCCGAAAGAGCTCTGCTTTGCCGAACTACAACAAATCCAAACAGCAAATGGACAAGAATTTGCAGAGAAATGATGGATAATCCAATGACCACCAACTTCCTGGGGTGCTTTCATGTCTGTGAAGCTCCTCCACGCATCTCAGAGAGCTTATAACAAAGGATGAATCTGCCATAACACTTAAATGTCATAAAAATAATTCCAAACCTTGAAATCTCCTTGATGAGATGATACCTTTCTCGCCAAACTACAGGTAGCCACAAATATGCTGTCCCCCTTCCTGTCTCACCCTGAGGAATATTCACCATATATGGACGAAGGTAAAGATGATCTTCTCACCAGAAGACGGAGGCATCAGTCAAAAGGGTTTAAAAGATCAATCAGCCTTCCATTTGTTCCATGGAAAATCTTGGAGAGAATACTTAATTTCTACCTTCGAAAAGGCTGACCTGACGAGAATTATGAAAGGTCTCGCCCTCAAAGAGCACACAGTAGACGTTCCATCCCTCTGCACTCAACTCATAGGAAAGTACTAGGCCCTACCTTTGATCTTCTCTTGATAGATCAGTATGGTGTACTATGTACAAGCGAGCTGCAACGCCATAACGCTAAAGGCAACTCAATCATGGAGATACCGCAGTACGGGACTCTTCAGCTACCACTTAACTCTACGCTCTCCGAAGAAGTCGGCCAAACCACCTCAGTTTTCTGTTTTCAACTAATATTATAGGGAGGAATGACAATGAAAATGAAACAGCTTTTGGGTTTTAAGTTTTATGGAACTGTCTTAGGCCGTGTATTTTTTTGAAAGTAGTGAAAAAATTAGAACAACAATTTTTCCGGTAGAAGTTCTAGCTGTTATTTCGGAAACCACTACGTTTCCTCATCAGACTTCTTTTTCCAGACACCTTTGTTCGATTTGGATTCGATCTTGAGATGTCCACAACAACAGTTTTACATCAAAGATCCGTAACCATGAGCAGGCAGACTTCCTGATCACTACCCAATTCTGCAATGTTAACTCAAACTAGTCTGATAGCCGAGCTGCCATTAAATCACATCAATGCAAGGAAGTTTCAAGCAAACTATTATATTAGGTCAAGTAAAAACTTCGTTCGGGTGTTTACTGATTTGAAATATGATAACTTTATGTACATTTGTCTGTTCGTGAAGTTGTTGCCAACGAGATGCCAACTTCATTATACCCCTCTCGTAGAAGGCTGCGTCCCTATTGGCAAAAATTTCGGAGAGCCTATTTTCACAGGCCTCTTTTGAGGCCAACTTCTCACCATTAAGCGCGTTCGCCATAGACAGGAAGAGATGGTAATCACTTGATGCCAGGTCCGGACTATAAAGTGTGTGCATTAGGACCTCGCATCCGAGATCCTGGAGCTTCTGGCGAGTCACCGAAGACGTGTGTGGCCTGGCGTTGTCCTGATTGAACACAATTCGGCCTCTGTTGATCAAAGATGGCCTCTTCTGGATGAGTGCTGCCTTCAAGTGGCCCATTTGTTGGCAGTAGAGGGTCGAATTGAGAAGCTCGTAGTAGAGCATTCCTTGCCAATTCCAACAAACATGCAGCAAAACCTTCCTGGCTGGCAATCCGGTCTTGGCCACCGTCTGCGCCGCTTCCCCGAGCTTTGACCACGACCGTTTGCGCTCGATGTTGTCATAAATGACCCTTTTTTCATCGCCAGTCACATTCCGATTCAGAAACGGGTCGATTTTGTTGCGATTCAGCACCGATAAGCAGATGGAAATTCGGTCCAAACGGTTTTCTGGCTTATCTTTAGTTTCTCAGCAATAAATCACTCTCTTCTAAAAGGACCGGGCTGTTTATCTCCTTCATCTTTCATAAACATTTCACTTACAGGCAAAATAGTTCCATGTTACTACCTGGAAGGGTTATGGACACAATCGAAACTCAATTAAATGGTTAGAAGAAACGCCCTTATAGCCATTGAAACGGTTTTCGGTCGAGCTCTTTTTTCCATAACAGTTCTCAAATTTTTCATGGAAATTCCGGACACTGTGAACCTATTGTAGAAGAAAGGTAGCAGTAGTTACTTTTAATTTCCTCTATATTAGAAAGTACGGATCAATTATTGGCCTGTGTGAATATACAGATCGAGGAGAGTGGTTCTATGAATCCCATAACACTGATTTTTATCTCGCGTTCAAATCGCAAAGCAAATTTTCGTTTTACATGTGGATAACTCGTCTTCGGTATGGACCATCCAGATATTCGGCAGTCTTTTTCGAACTCATTTTTAGGAATTGGGCTCGGTCAGCACTTGTTGAAGCACCAATTACCCTGACTAAGTCAAAATGTTAAAATGTTTTTTTATATAGATAAAAAAAAACTTATTTCAAAAGCAAAATTTATTTTATTTTCCATAAATTTCATTTCATTTCAGCACACATATCGCCCGCTTTGTCCACGGCTGCTTCAACCGCCATTTCGTCTTCCATTTTACCCATCGGCGCAAGCGCCTCACCATTTATACCTTCAACACTGTTATTCACCACATATCGTGACATTCAAGTCGCGAACATTAGCCGGCCGACTGGTAGTCCACAAATCGATGTCATCGTCAAAGATCTCACCGAGACGATGGCCATTGATTTCTATTATGCACGTAATTTAATTTGCTGGACCGATTGTGGTCGCGAGCTCATCGAATGCGTGAATGTGAATACTTCCGTGCCATTGCAGAAGGCACCCAAACAAACTGTGATATCTGCGGGTCTTGACAAGCCTGAAGGACTTGCCATCGATTGGTATACAGATAAGTTGTATTGGACGGATGGCGAAAGAAATCGCATTGAAGTAGCAACATTAGATGGCAAGTATCAGAAGGTGCTCTTCTGGACAGATTTAGATCAACCACGTGCGATTACTTTGGTTCCCTCGAAGCGATTACTGATTTGGACTGATTGGGGTGAATACCCGAAAATTGAGCGTGCGAGCATGGATGGCGATCCGTTGACGCGCATGACAATTGTGAAGGATAATATTTTCTGGCCCAATGGTTTGACAGTTGATTTGAAGAATGAACTCATCTACTGGGCAGATGGTCATTCGAAATTTATCGATGTAATGAAGTTGGATGGCAGTAACCGGCGAACAGTTGTTAGTAACTTGGAATATCCTTATAGCGTGACGTACTTCAACAACAGACTATTTTGGACCGACTGGTCAAAGGGTGGTTCATTAAATACTTTTGATCTGAAGTCGCGCGAATTGCGGGAGCTCATAGATACACCGGAAGCACCGATTTCCGTGCGCACTTGGGATGCTTCGCTACAGCCCTTCGAGGATAATCCTTGTTTGCATAATAACGGCAACTGTTCACATCTTTGCTTGCTTTCGACAAATGCACAGGGCTATAGCTGCGCCTGCCCAACAGGTGTGAAACTGATTTCTGAAACCACATGTGCGAATGGTTCAAAAGAAATGTTGTTCATTGTGCAGCGCGGTCAGATTAGTAAGATCTCCTTGGACACGCCAGATTTTACGATATTCCCATTACCTCTGGGCAGAGTGAAGTATGCAATTGCAATTGATTATGATCCTGTAGAAGAGTACATTTACTGGTCGGATGTGGAGGCGTATACGATACGTCGCGCTCATCCGGATGGCACGGCCATGCAAGATTTTGTCACGTCAGAGGTGCGACATCCCGACGGCTTGGCGGTAGATTGGTTGGCGCGTAATCTTTATTGGACCGACACAGTGACGGATCGTGTAGAAGTATGTCGTTTGGACGGTTCAGCGCGTAAAGTGCTTATCTATGAAGATTTAGAAGAACCTCGCGCCATTGCGCTGGCACCCACCCTTGGCTGGATGTTTTGGAGTGACTGGAATGAAAAGAAACCGAAGGTGGAACGTTCTTCGTTGGATGGCTCAGAGCGTGTGGTGCTCGTCTCCGAAGATCTTGGTTGGCCGAATGGTATAGCATTGGACATTGAGGCGAAAACTATTTACTGGTGTGATGGTAAAACCGATAAGATTGAAGTGGCCAATATGGATGGCTCAGACAGGCGCGTGGTCATTAGTGATAATCTGAAACATTTGTTTGGCTTGAGTTTGCTGGACGATTATTTGTACTGGACTGATTGGCAGCGCCGTGCAATTGATCGCGCACATAAAATTACTGGTAACAATCGTGTAGTGGTCGTGGATCAATACCCGGACTTGATGGGCCTGAAGGTGACGCGGCTGCGCGACGTGAAAGGCTCAAATGCTTGTGCGGTACGCAATGGTGGATGTTCACAACTTTGTCTCAACCGACCCAGCGATTTCGTCTGTCGTTGCTCTATAGAGTATGAGTTGGCGAACGATAAGAAGACGTGTGTCATACCCGAGGCCTTTCTACTCTTCTCACGGCAGGAGCATATTGGACGTATTTCCATTGACAACAACGAGGGTAATCATAATGACGAGAAGATACCATTTAAAGATGTACGAGATGCACACGCTTTGGACGTGGATGTGGCTGACAGACGTATCTACTGGACTGATCAAAAGTCAAAATGTATTTATCGCGCCTTCCTGAACGGTTCCTTTGTACAACGCATTGTTGATGCGGGCCTTATTTTTCCTGATGGCATAGCGGTCGATTGGCTAGCGCATAATATTTACTGGACCGACTCGGAAGCACGACGTATTGAAGTTGCACGCTTAGATGGCACTAGTCGCCGTGTATTAGTGTGGAAAGGTGTGGAAGAGCCGCGATCTCTAGTCCTGGAGCCCAAACGTGGCTACATGTATTGGATTGAATCACCATCGGATTCGATAAGACGTGCCGGCATGGATGGCTCCGAATTACAAACCATCATATCGGGCGCGAACCATGCAACTGGTCTTACGTTAGATCCCGATACTCGTCGCCTCTATTGGGCAACACAATCGCGGCCGACCAAAATCGAATCCGCCGATTGGGATGGCAAGAAACGTCAAGTGCTGATTAACACCGACGTCGATGAACCCTACGCCATGTCGCTGTACCAAGATTTCGTTTATTGGAGTGACTGGAATACCGGCGACATTGAACGTGTACATAAGATAACAGGCGAAAATCGTACAATCGTCCATACTGGCATGACCTACATACGGTCGCTTCTGATATTCTATAAAAATCGACAAGCGGGCCACAATCCATGTAAAGTGAATAACGGTGGCTGTTCGCATTTGTGTTTGGCACAACCCACACGACGCGGTATGATCTGCGCCTGTCCCACACACTACACTTTGGCTAAGGACAATATGTCATGCTTGCCGCCCAAAAACTATGTCATCTACAGTCAGCGCAATAGCTTCGGACGCTTGTTGCCCAACACAAGTGACTGTCCGAATGTGCCGTTGCCAGTGTCGGGCAAGAATATACGCGCAGTTGAATATGATCCCATATCACATAATATCTTCTGGGTAAGTTAAGAAGCTGGGTCTGATTTTTGATTCGTTTACTTAATAAAGCTACTTCACAGGTCGAAGGGCGTAGTCATAGTATTAAGCGCTCGCTTGCCAACAGCACTTACGTCAAGGTCTTAGTTGGCTCTGGCTCACAGCCTTTCGACATTGCTTTGGATGTGATTGGTCGTCTGCTCTTTTGGACTTGCTCGCATTCGAACAGCATAAACGTGACGAGGTAGGTCGCAAGTTGAAATTTTATATTTCAATACACGTGTATGAGCTAAAAAAAAAATATCTTTCCTACCCATAGATTCGATGGTGACTCTATCGGTGTCATTGACACCGGCGATTCGGAGAAACCACGGAACATTGCCGTGCACACAATGAGACGGCTGCTCTTTTGGACCGATGTCGGTAGCCAGCAGGCCATCATACGTTCACGCATAGATGGCGCTGAGCGTGTGGTACTCGCTTTCAAGCTGGAGGGTGTGACAGCGCTTGCGGTAGATCAACAAAGCGATATGGTATACTACGCGCATGGCAAGCGCATTGATTCGATGGACATAAATGGCAAGAATAAGTAAGTAGTATTGTTAGTACCACACACAATAAGTTTATACATTAATTCCATTCTCTTTATGTAGAAAAATACTCGTCTCCACACACATCTCACAAGTCATCTCGCTCGCCGCCCTGCAGGGCTTCGTCTATTGGTTGGATGATAAGACTGGTGTCGAACGTATAACCGTAAACGGCGATGGTCGTCGACCAGAAATGCAACGCTTGCCACAAATCACCGATATTGTTGCCGTTTGGACCCCTGAATCGAAGCTCTACCGCAATCATACTTGCCTACACAGTCGCACCAAATGTTCACACATATGCATCGCATCCTCGGAGGGACGTGCGCGTGATATCTGCTCGTGTCCAAAAAATCTCATGTTGCTGGAAGATCGGCAGAATTGTGGCGCCTTGCCGGCCTGTGGGCCAGATCACTTCACCTGTGCGGCGCCTGTACGAGGTGATGGCTCTAGCAGTGATACGAATAAGGATTGTATACCGGCCTCTTGGCGGTGTGATGGACAGAGCGATTGTCCGGATAAGTCCGATGAAGTTGGCTGTCCGACATGTCGGCCGGATTTGTTTAGCTGTCAGTCGGGCGAATGTATCGATAAGGCGCTGGTTTGTGATGGTACAACGAACTGTGCGAATGGTCATGACGAGGCGGATTGCTGTAAACGACCTGGCGAATTTCAGTGTCCCATCAATAAGGTACGTTATATGGCTTGCATAACAATTTAGTGAATATATTTATTTACTCCGCATAGGTCTGCATATCTGCTACGCTCGTCTGTGACGGTTGGGAAAATTGTGCCGACGGCGCCGATGAATCAGCCGAAATTTGTCTACAACCAAATACACGCGCCATGGCACCGGCATCGGACAAGAAAGCTTTTATGATACTAATCTTCGCTACTATTGTTATTATCTTCTCCATTGTGTATCTGCTGCAAGTTTGTCGTACACGCATAGGCAAAAGTCGTAATGAACCCAAAGACGATCAGGCATCAGATCCACTTTCACCCTCTACACTCTCCAAATCACAACGAGTTTCGAAAATCGCCTCTGTCGCTGATGCTATGCGCATGTCTACATTGAACTCACGCAATAGCATCAACTCGTATGATCGCAATCACATCACGGGCGCTTCAAGTTCCACCACAAATGGCAGTAGCATGGGCGCTTATCCCATCAATCCGCCACCCTCACCAGCGACACGCTCGCGACGTCCATATCGCCATTATCGCATTATTAATCAACCACCGCCGCCAACACCATGCTCGACGGACATATGTGATGAGTCCGATTCGAATTATACCAGCAAATCGAATAGTAATAACAGTAATGGTGCGCCGAAAATTTCCACCTCTTCAGCGGTGATATGCATGCAATATCAATATGATAGTGAGCCGTATCCACCGCCGCCAACGCCACGTTCGCACTATCACAGCGATGTGCGAATAGTGCCGGAGTCGTCGTGTCCGCCATCGCCTTCGTCACGCTCGTCTACATATTTCTCACCACTACCGCCGCCGCCGTCACCAGTGCAATCGCCCAGCCGTGGTTTCACGTAACATTTCGAGTTTTTCTTGTAAAAAATAATGTTAAGGCTATGAGTGAATCTGTGTGTTTGTTTAATATATATGTAATTATGTGTGTGCATGACCCGCGATAGGCGGCTTAGTTATCAGTTTTTTAGATAGTTATTTTAATACAATAATATATTAAGCAGTGTCTGTGTGAGTTAAATTTAATCATAAAAGTGAATTAATCTTAATGCCAATTTGCAATGATGTAACGTTCATATCAAGAAAACATAATGCTTCCGTTTAATTATTATCGTTATTCGTTAAATAGTATCATTAATATTAAGTGTATTTGTAATTCGAATTGTATGTTTGTTGTAAAGACGTACATATAAATCATTAGTCAGTACATATATATTGCGGATGCCATTTGCGTACTGCCAATTGAAAGGTCAGGGCCAGAGTCCTGGTGAGACCAAACATCCAAAATTTTCGAAAATTAATGTTTCTAATTGCGATCGCAACTCGGCAGAGAATCTCAAGCTCTTCGAGTGTATTTCTAATATGAAATAAAAGCTCCTCATAGAAATCCATCAGCCATCTGTTGGAAAAACATCCGTACGGAAATCACAATTTGAAGAAGGAGGTTGGCCGTAAATCGCATCAGCGGTTACAAAGCGCTAATTATATCTATATACATATGTCGTAATGACTAAATCTAAAGAAATTTTACTCCATTATTTCAAGTGTCATGTTAATTTTTTATTTTATTTTTTTTTTTAATTTTTCTAATTTTTAAGTGACAAAAGGCCTTAAAAAACTACATTACGCATATCTTTAGTCCTTATACGATCTATTATTTACATACATATTTTCATAAGTTTAGAAATTAAATACGATCTCAAACTACAAATCAGCTCCATATTTTTTCAACTTTAATAGATTTATTGGAATTCGTCAAATTTACATAAGTGTAAAAAATATGCTATTTTTTTTTTAATAAAAAAAAACACCTTCAATGTTATGCAAGTAAAAAAATCATAAAAAGTTATGATTATTCATTGTTGTTGAAATTTTTAACAGTCATAACTGACAGTTTTTAAATTTTACTGTAGCAAAAAAAAAATATGTATGCCAATATTTCGGTATTTTTGAAGCGTATATACATATGCACATTATGCATTCTACAATCTACTTATGTAAAAAAAAAATAATATTCTTATAATCGTTTACAGTTAGATACATAACAAAGTCGAAAAGGGCTTTCACAAAATTAATTTAACAAATATTTGAGAAAAAATTGCTATATTTATGTATAATTTAAATTAAAAATGTGCCAAATTTTGAAAAATTAAAAATAAAAATAATGTAAATAATTATAATAGAAAAAATTGTAATCAAATAATTTTAATTCTATTCTTCTATAACAATAATTAAAAAAAAGAACTGAAAATCTCCCATAAGTTGCTCAAAATTTTGTATCTTAAAAAATCGCTTAAAATTTCTAGCTAAACAATTTAGCATAGCACATTTTTTAAATAAGCAAAATTGCTAACGAAAGCAATAACAACAGGTTACTTTCGCAAATTCCAATATTATCGCTTTCAAAAATTTTATTTTTTGATATCAAGTTGAATATCTTAACAGTGTTAAACATTTTCACTTAAAATATGTAAATCTACAATGAGTCAAAGTGAATCATAACAAAATAGATATAACTAAGTAATATAGTTTTGAAAAAAAAAAACTGTATTAAATAATGAATTTTTAAATGTAAACAAATGTAAATAAACCCTTTCCTTTTTGCAACAATTCCGACCACATTTCTTTTTTTTAATTTTATTATTCTCTTTATTTTTTTCTATGGTTTTTTTTGGATTTTATTTATTTCTTTTTTTTTTTGGATTTTTTTCATTTTTTTATCATATTTTATTTATTTGTTTTGCTATAAATTTTGGTTTGTTATTTATATATTTTTATTGTTGTTTATTTTTTTTTGCTATTTATTATTTCATTATTTTTTAAATTCAATTTTGTTATTTTTTGGTTAATTATTTATTTATTTTTATTTTTTTGTTATATATTTATTTTTTGGCTTTTTTATTTATTTTTTGTATTTTATTTTTTTATTTATTTGATTTTTCTGCTATTAATTTTTTTTTTTTTGCAATATACTATTTTGCCACTTATTTATTTATTATTTTTTTATTTATTTATTTTTTGTTAATTATTTTTTTTTGTTATTTATTTATTTTTTACTATCTATTTTTTTTTCATGTATTTATTTATTTTGTTATTTATTTATATTTTTTTTTGGTTTTAATTTTTTTTTGCTATTTATTTATAATTTTGTTATTTTTTAATTTTATTTTGGTTATTTATTTATTTATTTTTATTTTTTCGCTATTTATATACTTTATTGCTTTTTTTTAATTAATTTTTCTTTTGTATATAATCTTTTTTTTTTGTTATTTAGTTGATTCTTATTTTTCTGCTATTAATTTTTTTTTGCAATATACTATTTTGCCACTTATTTATTTATTTATTATTTTTTGTATTTAATTATTTTTTGTTATTTATCTGTTTTTTCTTACTTTTTACTTATTTTTTGTATATTTATTTTTTTGTTGTTTATTTATTTTATTGTTGTTCATTTTGTTTATTATTTATTTATTTCATACTATTTAATTTTTTTCATGTATTTATGTATTTATTTTGTTATTTATTTTTTTTTTGTTTTAATTTTTTTTTTGCTATTTATTTATCTACATTTTTTGTTATTTACCTTTTTTCTTCTTTATTTTTTTCTTATTTTTTTGTTATTAATTTTTTTTTTGCCATATACTTATTTCTTGTCATTTGTTTATTTTTTAAATTTGCTAATACTTTATTAATTTGAATTTTTTTCTTTTTATTTTATTTATTTTTTGTTATTTTTCCATTTATTTGTTATTTGGTTAGGTTTTTATATTTTTTCTTACATATTTATTATTTTTATTATTTATTCATTTATTTTTTGTAATTAATTTATTTTTTTTGGTAATTTATTTATTTATCTTTGTTGTTTGTTTATATGTTATTTTTCTTTTTGCTTTTTTATTGAGTACCAGTAAACCATTTGTATTATTTTTAATTGAATCTTAAATTCCAATTCAAAACGTTGTTTTATTTCTTATATGAATTATTTTATCCAAACCTTCAACATTTTTATAAACAGTACGACTCAAATTTTAATGTCACACCATACAAATTTTTAATATTAAAAATCCTAGCATTTAATTAATATGTTATTAACGCCAAAAAGTGCCTCAATAATTTTTTCTACACTCATTTCATCGAATTGTTATATGTATATACAATACATACATATTTACATTTTCAATACCTACAAGAAGATATATATACCTATATAATTATTGAATGTATTATAGTATACCTTTTAAAAGTTCTTTACATTGTTTGATGTACGAGTAGTTATTGCAAAATATTAAATAACATTTACACAACTACATACATCTATATATTATATATACATATATTTAATACATATCTAAACATTGTAGTTTAATAGGTGTAGTTAATTTTAATACAAGTCAAATGTAAATAATTGTATAACTACCGATGTATGTATATGTATGTTTACAAAAATGTGCATAAACAATTGAGAAGATTAAAAATCATATGAAATTCCACAAAATAGTAGTTTTTATTATTGTAAAAACTTTACAAATTTACGTTATATAGATTTCGATATAATTTGATTACAATATAAACCGAGTTAGGCGTTTATGACATGTAAGAAGTGATTCACGCATATATCCAGTTTAACGCCACATTTTAGTAATTCGTATACCATGCGCTTCTCATGCTGGGTATACACGTATATACTTCATTTAATTCACAGTTGTAGTATGATGCCTCAAATGTTTTACCAATAGCTGTCGATCGTTTGTCCAATATCTGAAACAAAATCTGAGCTCATCGCAATCGAGCTTAGGGCTTCTTATCACCGGCCCCTCATAGTGGTTCCACCTTCTCATATATACCCCTGAATTAGATATTTTGAGATGCATTTGAGCTCTTTCAGTTATACGGTTTTTATCTCCTCAATCGTCATGATAGGGCATCAATATTGTTCTCGTTCACTATTAAATCCATTCGGTTTACTTCCTCATCGAGGCTGAAGGAGGCAGTGTTAACGGTGCGTTTTTTAGGCCAATAATGACCAGAACACGTGCGGGATGGGACAGATACGGAGAGCTGAATAGGGAAGCAAGACGCATCTGCAGACAAACAAAAAAAAGAAAGAGGCCGAGATGTGTGAGTGTGAAAAGCTTGAGAATTTGGCCGACAAGGGTAATGCTCGAAAATTCTTTGAGAAGATACGACGACGACTTACGGAAAGTTTCAAGACCGGAGCAAACTCTTCTATAACAGAAACAGGTGATCTAGCCACCGTCTGCCTATCAGCAGAACTATTCAAACAATAGCGGCGAAGACGTGCCAAGGTGCATGCATCAGCTACTTTCAAGAATATGGTCGGACGAAAGCATGCCCCACGATTGAAGTTTAAGTGTGCTCTGCCCAATCCATAAAAAAGGGACCCCACACTCTGCGCCAATTATCGTCGGATAAGCATTCTTAATGTCGCATATAAGCTCCTTTCAAGCGTATTGTGTCAGAAACTAAAGCCAACCGTCAACAAACTGATTCGACCTTATCAGTGCGGCTTTAGACTTGGTAAGTCAACCATTGACCAGATTTTCAACGCCTTCGACAGCACGAATAGGAGCTGCCTTTACGCAGCTATGTCTGAATTTGGTATCCCCGCAAAACTGATAAGGCTGTGTAAGCTGACGCTAGACAACACCAAAAGCGCAGTCAGAATTGGAAAGGACCCCTTTTAGCCGTTCGATGCCAAACGAGGTTTCAGGCAACGCGATTTCTTATCGTGTGACTTCTTTAATTTAATGCTGGAGAAAATAATGCAAGCTGCCGAGAGAGTACAGCTGCTGGCGTATGCCGTTGATATTGACATTATTGGCCTCAACAACTGTTACTTCTGCTTTCTCCAGACTCGATAAAGAAGCGAAGCAAACAGTCATCGCATTCGCGACTCGGCTCCCACGTCATTGTTGACAGTCATAACTTTGAAGTCCTAGATAAATTCGTCTATTTAGGAACCAGCATTAGCACCAATAATAACGTCAGCCTGGAAATCCAACGCAAAATCACTCTTGCCAACAGTTGTTCCTTCGGACTGAGTAGGCATTTCAATAGTAAAGTCCTCCCTCGGCGAACGAAAACCAAACTCTACATGTCCCTCATCGTTCCCGTCCTGCTATATGGCGCGGAAGAATGGACGAATACGAACGTGGTAAGCGCGTTGCCCTATAAAATAAGATATCTTTCTCTCCCAAAGAAATAAATTTATTGAGTTTTCAACGAACAGGATTCAGTAAAAATTAGTCTGAAAGTTGCATAACGGGTTTTTAATTTGACCGTTTTTTTCATGTTTGGAAGTATTTTCCTAAATGTTTTAACAAAATTGGCAATTATATAGCATATTTAATTTATTAATGGTACTCGAAATTTACTGTATTTCAATAACAAGCAAGCTTTATAACCGCCAAACGTTCTCTAAAGAGACGAAGATTTTTAAAAACAAATTTGCTTGGCAAAGATGTTGCTTAGATTTTAAGTAAAGATGACTGACATACGAAAATTAGTTTGAAATTCTTTTTCTGTATAAGCCGATAATAACTCAACATTATAATCTATATATATACATGTATATAAAAATGAAAAATGAATGAATGAATGGTAAGCGCATAACTCAACAACGCCTGAACCAATTTGGCCAATTCTTTTTTTAATATGTTCGTTGAAGTCCAAGGATGGTTCTTACGGCGAATCGAATGATTGCCGGGAAAACCCTAAAAACAGCCCTTTTCTTTTTCACATACAAACGTTTTCTAACTAAAACGT